CAGAGCGTTCCTGCATGATATTAAATCTTTATAAATCTGACTTCTCACTGGCAGCCATTAGCTCTATTTCTTCACTGTTGGACAGCGCAGTGAGGAAACGCAACTTGCGACTCAGACACGTGGAAGCTCTGGAGGTTCTGTTACAGCTACAGCTAATGGCTTTAGGAAACATGCCACGCATATACAAAATTCTACATATTCTTCAGAGTCCTGAGGCAGATACACAGTAGGAAAAAATTCAGGCATGTCAATGAAAAACACAGGGTGGGACTTCCAAATCAATGGACACTACGGCCCTTAAATCTTTTTGTGCCTCAGTTCTTTACTTTTCATTTGAAATCTTCTATCTCTTCCCAGAGGGCACTGTGAAGATAAACTCATCATTTATCTGTAAAACATCCAGTTTAGTTCCAGCAAGAAGACACGTGGAAACCTCACACTTTCTTTCTCAGAAGTATTTGAATGGTAGGCAAGATGTAAAGACTAAACACAATAAAGAAAAAACAAAATACTAATTCATGCTGTTCACGAATGAAGTATCCTTTTTGCATCACTGAACATATCAGGGTTCCATGTAAAACAAAAGCAAATGTAATGATATATACATGCAAAGTTTGTTGCACATAAAAGTAATTCTGGCATTTCTTAATTTCTTTCTTTTCCATTAATGTAGAAATCTGTTACACACAAGGAACTATTTAACAGAGCACAAAATAACCTGCAGGTAATAACCTCTGCTATGTTATGTTGAGGCAAAGAATTTATATTTGTATTGAAAGCATAAAAAAAAATACAGATGTCCTCTTGAAAGAAAGAAAGAAAGGCAGGCAGTGATGTCATACCTGAGGTCATGGAGAAACTTCTCCCATAGACATTTAACTACATGTTTATCTATTACGGGATGTACTGTTTTTTTCTGAAGCACCTAGTATTGACAATTGCTAGAGACAGAATATTTGACTCAATGAATCATTAATCTGATCATTTCCCCATGTTTTCATGTGGACTGAGTTTCTATAGCATCTGAGCCTGACAAGCACATACGGAGACAGCTGAAACAGAGCGAGGGATTAGATCACTGCTGATTCTCACAAACGAGAAAATGCTGCATGTAAATAGAGATGCTAAAAGCAGTCCCCATTCTATAAAGAACCTACAGGAAAGATTAATGTAAAATCTTGACATGATACTTTTGCCTTTCCCTTTAATGACATCAATAAACAGCTTTGGTATTGATTTTGCTTCTTATTAAACAGACTAATATAAATGTAGACATTAAGCCAGATAAACACAGAGATCAGTGTACCTGCAGCCAAAAGCATTTAAACCAGAATTACTACTGTTTGACCATGACTAGTAAGCCTGGCCAAACAGAATTTCATGTAAACTGCCTAATCCAAGCCTTTAAAAACAGAATGATCCCTTATCTCCACTTAGTACCTCACTCAAAAGAAACTCCCTCAGGCCTTCTATTGCGTCAGTACCAGTCAAGATCTCTTTTTTCTTTGAAATGGCAGCACAATCCCTCCTAAAATTGTGCCTGTGCAACAGAAAGTACATTTCATTCTAAAACAGGAGAGTAAAGTACTTCTTACAAATGCTTGTAGATGAGTTTTTCTCATTTTTTGTGAAGGTTTCACTTTTCCCTCCAAACACCGTTGTCCAACACACACTTACTTCAGAAACTTCAGAAATTACCCTAGCACCGCCAAAGAAGATTTCCAGACTTATTTATTCAGATTGAATCAGTCTTGGTCAATGAAACTAAACTTTGTGAAGATGGGAGGCAGTTTTACTAGGTAACAAATAGATATTCAAGCCAAAATATACTATATACCTGGATATCAAAAATAAACTGAAAATGTATATACAGAAATAAAAACATTATAGTTTTACTTAAAAGAACAAACAGTACCTTTCTCTTATCGTATAAGGCATGATTATCCAACATCATCTTCTTCTCATGAGTGGCATACCTCCGCAAATCACGTCCAAATTGCTGTAAAAGGTGTAACAAATAGGAGTGATTCTAACAAACTGAAATGGTTATCCTTTATAAGAGCTCCAACACCGAATCATACGACAAATGAATATGTGAAAAACTTACCTCTTTAAAAGACTATAGTCTGAACATACGGATAATCCAAAAGGGCAAGATTTTGATAAGCAATAGTCCATCATTTATAGCTAGCCTGAGAATAGTTTTCTATTTCAAGGGAAAGTAAGCCTGAAGTATGTATGGCCTGTTATGGGCACCCACAGTTTGTAGGTGAATCATCTCAGAGAGCAGCAGCTGAGTGAGGTAGAGAAAGATGAAGTTCTTATGCTCTTAACCAAAAGACCTCACAAAGTGAAGCACCCATCTATAGAGTTGAGAGGAGAGGTAGGCCTGTAAGTAGCCAAACATTTCCAGGATAAAAAGGACCCTAAAGTCTGCAGGGCTTATTCCAAGGTCCAAATAAATACGTTTTATTATCTCAAAACAGAAAATTGACTGAAGTAACTCATCAGCACAGCAGGAGAACACATCAATTGCAGCATTCTGCCTTGTCTAAAACATCCTGCTTCTAATTAATCTAAGTAGAACAGAGCACTAATGCACCTGTACTGCTTCTAGCACATCAAAAAGCTCATTCAAAGTGAGCTCAGATAGTTTTGAGGAGCACTTTGTTATACCATGCAACCATTCCCTAAAAAAAATTAACATCAGAGGGCAAGCATGTAGAATAGATTAAAAAATAATTATCTGGTAAAATATTAATCATTTGAGTTCTGAGTTTACATTTAGATAGAACTTTTTATTTTGAAAACATTATGCTATTTTATATTATACCCAGAAAAATAGCAATTACCCACAAACAATAACATCTAATACCTAAGTAGCTATCATTTAAAATTTTCTTTATCTATTACAGTACCTATCAAAACATTTTATTTTACTTCAAAGGTAATGAATAAGCACAATATTCAAGTAAAATAAAACTGAAACAAAACATTTTCAATAATTCCAAAAGAAAAAACTCTTTTAGACACAATACATAAATGTCACTGATGTGACTGTTCATGGGGTGAGGACACTACAGAATGTGACATGTGGAGAGAAGGAACATTTTTAAATGTGCCATGAACTCTGAACAGTCCTGCAAGAGCAAAAATAGGCTAGCAGTGCTAAGGTAAAAGAGACTCTTGTCGTTACTTACCCTAGATCCTGTCCAACCTAACAGAGCATATGCATATTGCTCAAAGGGGCTTATGACCAGATCCACACGGATTGCCTTCCAGTCTTTGACTTCTGCCATATCAAATTCTTCTGATGCATTGTAACTCCTGTTTTCTATTCTTGGCTGATATAACTTTAAAATTGCAAAACACTTCTGAAAATTATCCATGGCATCAACTTTTCTGCTTGGTAGCTGCTCTTTTACAAATGTTGATTCAATGATATCACAATATAAGAGTAAGCCCTAAAGAGAAAACATTGTTCACATTGAATGACTGGACTGGTTTTATTGTAATTTCAGAGTTTCTAGACAGTCGTCTTAAAAATTGTAAAGTACAGTTTCAGTAAATACAGAATACAGCAGGGCTAAATCTGGGCTCAGTTCAGACAGGAAACAGCCGCAGCTTTTGGAAAAATATTAGCAGATGCTGAGAGCGAAATCTGCCATGGTAGCCATCTGAGAGTGGCAACGCTCTGCTCTGTACTCAGAGGACAATATTTGCAATTCTTCCTCCTCCATCTTTCCCTCTAAGTCTTTTGTGGTTGATGTCAACAGTCAACAGAAATTTCTGAGTAGGATTCTTTCCCACATGGCAGACATCTAGAAAAACAGATTAGTCTAGAGCACAGTCTTGCTGACAGCTTCCAAACAGAGCACTCAGACAGTGTCTGCTATGTGAGATTTCCTTGTGACAAGGCCTGGACTTACCAGAGCGTTGGAATAGCCTTGCCCGTGCTGTCTGTTTGAAGTGAGTGCACCAAAAAGCTGCTGACCCTCAAGAGCCAGATTTTATTAAAACATAACTAAACTAAAAAAATTTTCTTTTTATAATAAAGAAAATTCAGAGTGAAACAAAATAGGATTAGTGGAGGGTTGTAAATTAATCCCTTCCAATACAGCAGTGTAGGGAGGTCTGGGTGGAAAAGGGCAGTGCCTTCTCCCAGCCTTGCTCTGTATCCAGCAACCTTTCAATGGCTCCTGAGGTTGCGATAAACTCTGCACTATCCCGTCTAGGTCCCCAGGAAAAGTATCTTTCGGTCATTCCTCAAGCCTGTTTGTATGCCTATACTTTGCACTTCTAAGCAATTTCCAAGGCTACTGGCTTGCTGGACATCTCAGACTTGCTCTTTTCTCTCAAAGCCTCTTACACCTGAGCATGTTCAGTTGCCCTCAGGTAAAGTGCAATTTCCCCCAACCTGCCAGAAGACTTCTCCCCACTCAAAGCACAGCAATGACAAAGGACAAGACAAGGAGCAGCCCAGCACAGCCTTTTTAAAGAACTAAAAATATCAGATACAATAAACAGAAATAAAGCAGATACTGTCTATCACACTACTTCTTTCAATCATCCTTGGGTCTTCAGAATAGAAATAGAACTTGATATATAGTAATGTAAGGATGCTGAGTATCGCTGAAGCCATCTCTAGCAGGAGGGCTCAGCTGGCAAAAAGACTGCACATTTTGAAAGCAGTTCCTCATGATGAATATACTCAGGTGCGTGCCAAAGTCCTGGTACTCTCAGCCTTACTTTAGTTTTTATAAATTCATACAATATAGGAGACCGCTGTGACTGGCTCCTCTGAGCTCCTGATTAAACAGAAAGTAGAGATCTCTGAGATTTGGCTTTGCAAAATAAATTTGTCATAAGGACTAGTAATAACTGTGCATTAACTACCTCCTTCATGGGTTATCAAGTGTTTAATCATTATTACTAGAAGGAAAACTGCATCTTATTACTAAACAGAACTTCCTAACTTCATTCTCCAGCTGGAAAAGCTTGTTAGCTTTATCTTAATCTGCAAGACTGACAAGCCTGCAGCTGTCAGATATCTTTTCATATCTTCTTTTACGTTTGTTTAAACCTACACATTGATCAAATCCATCTCTCAGATTTCTCTGTGATGAGATGAATAGACAGAGTTTCTTAAAATTTCCATCGCAAAGATTGTTTTAGGTCCTTGGATCAATTTTGAAGTCCCTCAAATGTTTACACATCCTCTTTCCACTAGACTAGCAATTCTTATACTAGTCTTATCATAAAAAGTAGAGTCAAGAATGCCTCCTGACTTTTAGTTAATATATCCCTTAATGCATGATAAAGAATCATATTGGTTCTTTTTTTTTTTAATTTGCTATATGTGAGAACATATAGAAGTGATTTTCTCTGATGATGTCATTGGTTAACTATGATGGTGTCCGAGTCAAACTTCCGAACATAGAAAGCAACCAACTGATTTTTGGAAGGTTGTCTCCCTATTAAGCCTCAAATTTTGAAATACCTTATTGTGATTATTTATTTGATATAGTGCAAGTGTGGTAATTTTGTGTGGTAATATATCATATACCTTAGAGAACACTTTACAGCAAATAACATTATTTAAAATTATTTAAAATTATTTTATCAGTCAGAGCTATAATTCTGACAAAAAAAGTGTAACAAGAACATTTAACAAGATACGATTTCCAGGAAGTGACACTGATGGTATTATTATGTTTTTAGCTTCCAGTTTTTTGTTGATGATAGTTCCAAATTAACCATCCCATTATTTTACTGGGCATCAGTCATAGGCTGTTTTATGGGTCACCGGGCCAGCCCTTCTAATGATAACTATTTGACTTGCACAGATACTCCTTCACTTCTATATGTTTTTTCCTAATTTTGATGATTTATTATAACTAATAAGAAAAAACTCCTTACTTAGCTCCTTCTCTTAGGTTACTAGTTTCTAGGTCTGCTAATTTGGAAATGCTTAATTTTAGCAGATGCTCTATCGCATCCATCTTTAAAACAGACAGTAATTTTTTGTTGATTTCACTCCAACGTCACAAGGGAGTGGTGCTTGCTATTTCCAAGTAAAAATACAAAATTGCTATTGAATGTTAATGTGTAACTGCTTATAATTTCACTTCTACTGATGAAACTATGCCTGCTTTCGGGTTATTTTTGTTGCTTTTAATGCTAAAAATGCTCTTAATCTCATTGGTCATTGATGACCATTAATGACGGTCACTGATGAATTGAAGCACTGACATTCTTCCCATTCTCTGTGAATTTCTTTTAGATGCTTCATCAATGCTTTCACATCTTTTTCTTCTTTTTCCTTTTTGAGATTTGGGGCATTGCAGAGCACATTCCTGAACAAATTTATTTTAAAATTTATTTCTCTAGGCAGAATTCTATTAGCCTCTTTAAATTTTGGTAAAGTGGACCTTTTATCATTCCAACAACCTACATTTCCAGTAGCTGTATTCTATTTGCAGGTAGTGTGCTCAAACCGTGATCACCAGTTTTACACATTCACTGCAGTTTATATCAACACTTGCATTCTCTTTATCTATTCAAATGAAATTGAAATCTCCTCAGTCTTGGTAAGGACACTGCAGTGGTTTCTCTTTTCATACACAAGCACCTAAGAGGTATTTAAAACTCCTGAGTGAGTGATCTTTCAGTGAGATCTGTGGATGGTAGCACATGGCCACCAATATCGTTCCTGGAATTTTAACACGGAAGGTCTTGAGAAGCTGTAATTACGTGTCACCTATGTGTCTGCAATAGACATAACAATGTCATTAATATGAAAAGCTCAGGCTTACCCTTTTAAGGGTCATTCAGTTTTAACTTTCAGTCATACACTGTATCCTCTGTTTCATCTTCATTTTCATTCTGACACTTAGCTCTGCTATCGTCTTATGGATGATTTCCTCGGCATCAGCTTTACTTAGGTCTCAGACTCATTTCTTCCAGCTTGCTCCTCATTACAGGAGGATACCACACCAGTCATCCTGGATACCACACCTTCATCAGAGTGAGTTTATTTCCTAAACTTTCAAAATTTTCTCCAAGTTCTAACTTAGGTGTGGTTTCTAGTACCTTGTATTGTTTTGCCTGTAGAATTCCATTAGTTCTCTGTTTAAGAGCTTCCAGCTGCTTGAAGAGTACAGCTTCTGTCTGTTAAACCACAGAACATAGAGCCCTTTTTTTTTTTTTTTTTTTAATCTGCCTAATTTCATGTTCAGAAATTTCAAGAGAACATTCCTTGGTGCCCCCGAGGTTTAACATTTAGCATGAGGCAATTATGATGCAGTAACAACGAATTGGGGCCTTCCTCCAGAATTCTGTTTTCCCTTGCTGACTAGGCCATGTCTTCTACTTGAATACATTTTAAGTATTTGCAGATGGCAGTGGTTAGCAAGTGTAACTAGAAGGATATTTTAGGATTGCATATATCTGGGTTATGCTTTATTGCTTTTCCATAGTTAATTGGCTGGGCAATTTATAAAGTTAATAGGAAGAGTATAAGAGGATGTACTGTAAAAATTTACTTCAACCTTAAAAAAAAAACAATTAGGCAAAAATTATTTGAGTGCTGATTTCAACAATCAGTTGAAATCTGATTCAAATTTGAATAGGAACCACCTTTAAATAGGAAACAAAGCCTAGGTCATATCTATTGGGATAATGTTTCTGATTAACATAATTTGGTTAGGCACTAGACATCACCCTCACCCCATAAAATAATGCTGAAATGGCACTTCTGTGTGTTTGGAGAAAAAGAGATTGCTTGAAGGGGTAGTCAGCGATGAAGACTGTGTGAAGCTTTGGCTACTGCTAGCTGCAAAACACAGGCCTTCACATTACTCTCTGTCAGTGAGTCTACAGCTCTTGGCAAGTATCATTTTGAGCTACACGTTGTAAATTGCTGTAGACCTTAAAACAATCAAGTTTTAAAATGTAGGCATTTTTACTGCTCAGATTTACAATACCACCAAAACCAAATGTATTTTTGTAGGGCAAGTATGTTAGCAGCCGCAACAATTTGCCCTTTTTGAAATGGTTCTGCACTTTTATTTAAATAGATTGAATGTTGGTACATCAGTGGTGCTGATATGGGAGTAAATCCATGATCAAACTGGAAAAGAGTGGTGAAGTTTTAGAGAAGTATGTAATCAGTAGCTGAATAACCATTGCAGATAAGGTCATTAGCACTTTTTAAAAATATATTTAATTACATCAAATCCTATCCCATGTGTAATGTTACCAGCAGTCATTATTCCTAAGTATTGGTGACTGGATTAATTCCATTAAAGCTAAGTAAGACCGTTTCATACTACTAGCAAATGCATTCCAGTAGGTTCTTCTGAAATGCATATATGCTGTTGTTCTGAATTTTCTTCTAAGGTGGCATACAGAAGTGAAACTGGTTTTTTTTTTTTAAAGTAAAATATCTCTGACTAATCCAAATAAGGATGTAAGCATGTTAGTTCGAGATTCCAGTCCAAAAACATCCCTGCCTAGGTAAGACAAATGGAATTTTATAAAGTGGAGTAGCTTGAGAAACCGATGCCTGGGAGCAGTTAGGCCTGCTAGAGCAAGGAATCGTTAGCTAATGCCATCCCAGGCTTGATCAGTGATACAAAACTTCACAGCTGCTGCCTAACTGTGCAGGGGCCTTGCTTCCTGTGATGACAGTTTTTCATCTTGATGTTCCCCACGTAACAGAACAATCTGATTCTGAGCATGTCCTGAAGAACCTGGTTTTGACAGGAATGCACAACCCAGCGCTGGAGTCCAGGAAGGAAGATGTTTCCCTCTCTCCATGCCATGAGCATTTGCACTGGTGGGCAAGACAGATAGATAGGTAGGGATATATAGATACACAGCCACATATGGATATATAATACACACCAACAAGATTAGGCTTCATGTGAAATGCCACCACTGTCAGGAGTTTCACTTAAAAAACCGCAGGAAGTGGAACACTTCTCCCTGCTCCATGCAACAGCCAGGAAGCAGGACACTCATACTCAGCCTCCTCCTCTGCTTGAGGGGATTTAGGCCAATTTCTCTGACTTCCCACTTTAGTGCCCTAACCACGAAGCAATAGCCTATTTTAGGTAAGGATGTCCTCAGCTCCTGCTGAAGTTAGGCCAAATTGCAATAAAGAATTCAGAATTCATTGAGTCAAAAGGAGAGAAAATACATGTGAACATAACTCCACAGGGTAAGGCATTCATCTGAAAGAAATAAGCTCTTTGTTCCAGCCTCATAACTGTTTCTCTATCTCGTCTTAGAAACAGGTTCTGCTACAGCTAAACTCCAGCTATCACTAGATAATGAATGTGCTGCGGTCCTTTGAACCCTCTTTACAAAAATTCTAATTTCCAGCAGCGGAAAAACCAGTCTTGTTACTTGCTCCTTACCATTCACCAATGGGACATCAACCCTTCCCCTTCTTGATCCCTGCACCTCAGCAAGGATGAATGACAGAATCTAAACTGGACCATTTAGATACTAAAATGAGCGAGCACAAGCAGGCCTCCCTATTTCCCATTTTCTTAAAAGCCAAAACTAAAATGGAATGGCAACGTGGGCTAATGCAACATTATGTTTGCACCAATGCAAAGGGAAAAAATGAGGAGTGCTGGAATGTCTACAGTAATGGTATCTCTCCCTCTGTTTACGGTATCTATGCTACAACATGAACAGCACTAAAAATAGCTATATAGGTTTTTAGCAAATAATAAAAATCTCTTTACATGGTGCTTGGATGAGGTTGCATTGCCACAGATGGCTCAGCCTGTTAGCACACGGACTTGCAAGCTGTAACCCACAGAGGATGTAATTTTTTTCTTTATTAAGCTTCTTGGAACCATTAAAACCATAACCTGTATACTGCATTGCAGCTTTTCCATTTTCTCTTCCACTTTGAAGCTCACTAGAGACTTTGTGTTCTCTGTTCTTCAGCCCATTTATCCCTGATGGTGCTGCATCAAAGAGCATGACAGTGTTGATTTAACCACTTAGTTTTCAACAACTTTCAGTGAAAAGATCTTGTTGCATTAAACTTTTCAGCTAAGTTTAAACCTTTTTTAGGTTTAAACTTTAAAGGACCTTTTTTAAAAGGTCCTTTTAAACTATTAAAATTAGGGAGGGTTTCATAGTTTACAAGTTAAACACTGCAGAATCCTTCGCTAAGAGCTGCTGAAAGGAAGTCAACATCATGACCTCGGTGACACTCTTTGATGAATCTGGGCTTTGAAGCAGTAGCACAAAAGTGGAAAGCTGTGAAGCAGCCGACAGGTGTACTGTCAAAAAGTATAAAACTGCTTTAGGTTTGGGTTTTTTTCTTTTTTTCCTCTTAGAAATCAAAGGTAATAAGAAGGCAAGGGAAGTATAATTCCTGTCTTTGTTTTTGCATTTTGGTTTTGCTGGCAGCTAATTTTTTTAGCAGTGACAGTAAAAGCCTATATATTACAACTGCCACAGTTGAGAGGCTGTAAAACTGGTACTATAAGCCATAAGGATTCCAGAGGAAACACAGAACACAGAAAAATCTTTGTCCATCAGTTTAAACAATCCCTTTCTTGTCTGGGTTTGGTTCCTTCTGCCATTGCCTATCTCCCCTTTAGACATTTTCTTCATTCTGGGATCTCTAGAGGAATCCTAATCTTTTCATCAGGCCACCCTTGACCTCCCTCACTCTCTCTGCTCTCACTTTTGCCAAATTTTATCCTTAAATCAGCAAGAACAATTTGTTTTCTATGTCTTTCCTTTCAATTCCATTTAATGAAAGCAACGTGGAGTGACCTTCAGCAGTTGCCAGGCTTCTCAGATCACAGCCATTGTTCTCATACTAAAGTAAGTAGGGTGTGATGGAATGGGAGAAGCAATGAAAGGCTGCAGTCAGGGGCAGGCTCTTGCTCTCAGCCTGTCGTCACTTTTCCTTTCTGCAGTGTGATAATAAACATGATTTTTGGAGGACCTGCACATGGCTTCCCTGAGGTTTGAGTCTGCTTAAGAAGCCAAAAGGATGACTTCCAAGGAGAAAAGCAGCTTTGCTCAGAATAAAGTGAGCAGAATCACTGAGAAAGAAGCTGTATATAATACAAGAAAAAATACAAATAAAGTAGCTCCTCATTAATAGCCACAGCTTCATCGCTTTTCAGTGGATTTTGATAAATTACATCTGCTAGCAGCCTACTTCAATACATACACTTACTGTATGGAATTAGGATGGAAGTCTTAGAAGTCTGAGAAACTAGTAATAATCTTTTAACTTTTTAAAGACTGAAAGTAACTTGGAGAATGAGAAATGCACCTAGGGTAGTATTTTATCCGGAAAGAGCAAGTTTGATGCCTCTGCATTAAAGGTAATAGAAAAGGCTTTGACCACATCTAAAATAGATCACTTTTCATACAGTCAGACAAGCTTTTGTCAATTTGGATGTTTTTAATATCTTCTGCATGTTAACCCATTACACATTAATTAGAGTATATAGTTCAAGAACCAACTCCAAGGTATTCTCTCCAGGCTATCTCAATTGAAAGCTGATTTTGCTTGGCAGTGAGACATTTGATGATTCACCTCAGACAGAGAGCTGCCCTTTTACATGTTGAAATGTACTCAGTTCCTTTGAACAGTACAGGTTTTAAATGTTGAAAGATATCTTAGCTGGCTAAAAAGGTAGAAAAAGATACAAAGGCTTGTTAGTCCTAACATACTGTATTTCTGATTTAAGAATATTCTGAGGTACCTATACCTATTTTAATTCAGACTCTTCCAACTTTAAAGCTGGTTGGAACTGAAAAAAGCTGAACAGAAAAAAAACTTGAATGAAATATTCTTCTGAAATGTGTGAATTCATCAAATCCAGACTTTATGGAGGACTGTGTCAATTTTGACAACATTCCAATGGAAACTAGGAATAATGCAAATCTATAGGCTGGAAAGAAGCCAGAATTCCAGATTTTTGGTACTCAGGCTTTTAGATTTGTTCACCCTACCTCATGAGTTCACATGAGAGCTGGAGTTCCCTGGCGAACTGGGGGAAATTCTAAACCCATCTCAAGGAGAATTTAAACAAATATTGTTTAGTTTCAAAGTGTAAGAGCAGCTATACTAGGTCACCCAAAAGTCCATCTATCTTGTCCATCTGTTTCCTACCTCTGACCAGAAATATAACAGAGTGTGTATAGGGTTACTCTTCCCCTGATATAACCTTCAAAGTGAGCATTCAGAGCTGGAGGATGCACCTGGATTGTCATACTTGATAACCAAATGGAAAAATATCTGATTTCAAAATATTAACATTGTCTGTGAAAAGGAGTTGGCATCTTTCAGCACTACATTTAGTGCTGATCTTAATTTAGTGCTGCTAGAATATGTCTCTTTTAGCCAAATATTATTTACTTCATACCTGCTTTTTCCATAAGTCAACAACTTTATGCAGAAGACCATCATCTTCTCTCGGTCCTGGATTGGTGATCAAAAAATCTATATCATGTCCAATCTTCTTACCCCTACAAGTAATAAATAACAAGAAGACTAAAAGAGTTAAGTTCCTGATGAATTTTACACTACTTTCAAAGAGAATATTTTTTGCTGCATTATACAAAGAGTTTGCAGGATAAAGTGATAGCAATGTTCCTTGAAACATAATCAAAATGGAATCTCCTATTTATTTTATCAGGTCTTTCAATGTTCTTTGTTAAGCAATAATCTAAAGTTTTTGATGTATTTTCTCTGTTGTTCAACTAGATAGTGCAGATTCATTTGATGATGTTAAATCTCTCTCTTTCTTCCCCTTAAGTCCTAGAAAAGAAGATTTCAGTCATCTCTGGAAAAAAAAAATCATAATCAAAATACCACAGTACATATTAAGAATCTATTGCAGATAAACTTGCCAGTCTAACTACTGCAGGCTTAAACATTCTTCTTTAGCTTTTGATGGACATTTTAAAGAACAAAAGGGTGATTATGGGTTATTTTATTGTTCCTTTTTATGGCAGACATAAAATGTCTGAATATTTTACAATTCTTTTCTTTTAAAATGTTTTTTGCAGAGACTGAGCTTGAGTTTTTTTTGAGAACAGTTCAGCCTTACTGTGACTAAGGCTTGTTTATTACACTCACTAAGGATTTGGCAATTAAACCCATATGCACAAAGTTTAATTGTAAATGTTCTTAAAGAAAAATTATGTCATAACCTCTTCTTTTTGTTCATTTAAATCTAAGCATTCAGCTTGCCTTTCATTCACACACCCAATCTATTAAACGTAAATCAGATTAAGATATAGCTATCATTGGAATAAATGGGCAAAAGCAAGCTATCTGGAATGTTTCTCTTTGGAATTATGAAATGTTTGAGGACATATAAGTATGTCTCTTATGCAACTCGTATGAGGTTTGCAGAACCAATACAAGGTTTTCATTTTCGTCTAAGTACCACCACAGGGACTGAGTACACATCTCTTCATTGGCTCTAATCAGTCCGGCCTATGCCTGAGCAGTCTTAGGGGAAAGGAGCAGAGGAGATATTTCTGCAGCAGATCCAGTGCCCCGCACCCCAAACTTTTTACCTGTGGTAGGAAAGCATCCGGAGGAAACACCTAAGATCTGGAGTAGTGGCACCTGGGTGTAGCACATCTTCAAATCCTTCTTCTGTGGTGGTGGGAAAAGGCTAATCCTCCTGCATATCTTTCACAGAAACCCTTATGTCCACATATAGGGCACGTGCATTTTACTCTCAGTGCCCTAACAGTCATGCTATACAAGTCACACAGGGCACAGCACAGCTACCCTTGTGATAGTCACAAGGGTGCGTGGTGTTACAGCTCAGGGTGTGTTTCAGTTCAAAACTCTTCCCGGTACTCAGAGAACTTGTGAATTGTCACACAAGGAGTTAAAATTGGAATTGTCCAAAACAAAGGATTTGCATTTTTTTGTAGATAATGAAATATTTCATTCTCTTATAATAATGACTCTGATTTCTTAAACCTGGAAATTTGTAGGAATAGATCTGACTGGCAGCTGTGTCAACTGCCATTTTTGTGACAGGAAATTATCTAACTGATGGATAGTGGAATAGAGTTAGCAGCAAGATATAAGGAAATGAAAACCTAGGTTTTACATTTGACAAGCAGTCTAACTTAGTATAATGCAACTATTGTGCCATGTCTGCAGCAAAGTCAAAACTGCTTAAACAGGTGGAAATGATTTCAAAAGAAGTTTCAAACAAAGCATCAGTCTAGGCTTAGAATCTGAATAGCAATTCAAACTCAAGAAGTTAAAAAACATCAAGTGTTCCACATAACACTTTTTAACTTATTTTGTAAGATGACATTCATTATTTTTTAAATTACCATAATAATGCAAAGCCCTTGCATGGCACTTTTTACTTACATGTCTCAAAATATTTTTGCAAAGGGAAGGAATTTATTATTCCTATCTAACAGATGCAGAAAGTAGCATAAGAAAACTTGCCTAAAATTATAAAAAAATTAAGCAGAGGAAGAACTTGGAAGCTGATGGAATCAGGAGTTGGTTCCTAATTCTTACTTTAGTACTCAACCCATGCATATTTATATTAACCCTATCAACAACCTCCTTCCTCAATCCTGCTATAAAATCTCATGAAATCTAGGGATTTTCACTGGCCGTGTATTTCCCGTGTATTTATTGAAATGCTGTTCATATGTGAATTTAGAGTGCTTAGATCTGACACAAAAGCACAAAAAATGAAGTTATGCTTGTCATCAGCGTTATGTTTCAACTTCTCTTTGAGCTAATGTTCACTAGATTAATTTTTTTCTGAATTTTCAGGCTGTTACTGGAACATTTACTCTAATTTCCACTAGTACTACTTAACAAATAATTTATTTCATTCTAGATAAATTTATTGCCTCTCTCGACTTAGGAAAATAACGTACTAAACTCAAAAGCTGCATAATACATAGTGCTCATAGCTTGTAAATCATGCAAAAAGATGGAGGAAAGTGCACATGTTGATTTGGATCCTCATTCTGTTGAAGTTAATGAGAATGTGGCCATTGATTTCAGCAGAGTAGGGTTTTTCTTCACAGAACATATATAAATATATTTCTAAACACATGCACACACACATATATGTGTGTATATGCATGTGTGAATATATATATATACACACACACATATATACATATATATGTATGCAACCATAGGTATTAATCAACTCACGCAATGGACACATTGGATTTGATAGTGCCAAGGTGCTGTCTCTCCAGTTCAGGAATTACTTAAACATCTGTTTAACTGTATGCAAATCAGCAGTTCATTGCAAAATTAAAAACTAACTTTACACACTGCATAACAGTCTTCCCAGCTCTACAGATCTTGCATTTTATACTGCAGGGAGGTATAAATCCACCCAGGGTAGTGATTTTAGCATGCTAGAGGACGGTATCAGATGTAGGGCTGTGATTCTGGCATGCAAATGCCCAAATCCGCTAATCCGCTGCCTTTTATATAAAAGCTGAATACTATTTTAAAAATAGAAACAGCTACAATGACATTTTAGGAAAAGAATTACATACACCTCCTTCTATATGAAAGTAGCTCAGAGCTTGTCTATTTTCTAGGCCTTCTAGGAGATGATGGTGACACTCAGTCTAGTGTCTAGATTCCAGCTGGGCACAAACAGGATCTGGGAACTGATCTGCTTGTGCCAGGAAGTGCTGAGCTATAAAGAAGGAAAAGGGTATGTGCCCCCAGGTGCAGCGCAATCAGGGACGTGACCACGGAGTTTGGTCTTCTGAGGCTAAGAACAGGAAGGATATGGATTCAAATTTTGAATTTGCTATTCAGATCTATTTACATCTTCTTTAGCTTTCCTTCAAATCTAGTCTGAAGTGCTTGTTGAACCGGAGCAAAAAGAAAATCAGCACCTTGCGGAACTGAATTTGTAGCTTAGGTTTTGTCCTAATAATCTATTCAAGCCTGAAGACTATAAAAGACGGAACACTACTAATTAACTGTGTTGAATTCTTGGCAGACTGAACTTGTGTAAAGCTGATAAGTGTCTCTGAGTAGTCAATTAATTAACTCTAAAGTTGCTGGAGTTTTCTTTTTTATCGTTATTGTTTTAATATAAAATCTAGATTCTAAGTCATTAAACATCAGTATCATTATGACTGAGACAAATATACGGATCAAAGGACTGTAAAGGACAATCACATTGGCTTACCTCATAAGGGCAGCATAGGCAAGATGAGATACTATGCCATGCCAAGAGTATGTGGAAACCTCAGGATTTGATTTAATGACTAATGCACAGCAACACCAGTTCTGATAAACGGAATTTAGCTGAGGAAAGATGGACCGACATTTCTCTACCACTCACAAAGGTTCAGTAATGGAGTAACTTGAACTATCTTTTCTGCAAAGGCAAGTTGCATGTAAAAAGCCTGAAAACCATTTAGCAATCTTTGTGCTTATACAGAGTTCAATTGGATACGGAAGAAGATACTGTATTTCCGTATGTGTGCTTGCATTAGGTAAAACTGTAAGCTTTTCTTAACTTTCCAGCCCCTTGAAGTGTGTGAAATACAAAACGAACAGCAACAGCCTGTGTTTAGAATAACTGCATCTCATGCCCAGGCATATGGCAAAGAAATATAAACATCAAAGTGAAATCAGAGACAACGCAATACCTTTGGATAGATCTGTCATAATACTGACTTATTACCTTTACTATTGATGTTGTATCGTGCATGGAAATATTACTCACTTCTCAGTATTGCCACAGTATGCTGGGCTCTGCCTGCAAACTAAGGAAAAGAAGTTTCTTTGAATTGTTGCCGTCTGAGTCTTTAGATTTGTTCACGACTATCATCTCAGTCAGCTCCCTTCAGCTGCGAGGACCCTTCTGCAAGGGCAGCCCGTTTCTTCAGCTAGGCTCTGGTGGTATCCAGACCTGTCATCACTCACTCAGTATTTTCACACCGCCCTATATTTTCCAGCTAATTTTGCTATACTATAGTTTTTCTCTACTGGCATCTTCTATCTCCAATTTTCTTTTAAGTCTTTAAGATTTTGGCCTAGAATATGATTCTTCTCTTTTTTCACAATACTTTCCTGAATAATCACTTATTTTTGAAATATTTTATGCTGTACTGCTGTGACAATCTCACTCCAGTCTTTCTGCTTGGCATTCAGAGACTGGGGGATGATAAAGAGGAACAGTCAGATCTGGGTGCTTTTTTGTTGCCCTGGAATTCTTTCCTAGCTTAATTTTGTCGTCTCTATAGTGTTAGATTTTTCTTCTTATGTGCACTCTCTCATTCTCTCTCCCTGACAGCTCTTCAAAACGTACCTGCTATTTCTCGTGTTCCTAGAAGTATTCTGGTAGACATAAGTTTTCTCTTGTTTGACAATCAGTTACAATGCTGTGGAATAAACCAGAATGAGTAGCATAAATATTCATCAGGCCTTGGATAAAAGTCTTGGATGCAGTCCTTTAAGACACTGAAGTGATTAATATAAT